ACCCACCACGCAGGGACACGGGGTCGTCTTCACGGGCATGGGCGCGCAGGCTAGCCGCGTAAGGTCTAAGCGCACTAGATTCCATTGTTGCGTGCCGCGCTGGCGGCCCGCGCAAGCCGCGGCGACGTGCCACGGTGCGTAGGGCCAGCTTCTTTTCATCGCTCAGGTGCGTTTGGGTGCCACCTCGCCCCATTTGACGGCCGCGAACTGCGAGGCTAGCGCCACCTGTGTGGGCGGCGCTGCGCAGATCCGGGCGAGGCAGGCGGTCTCGCTCGCCGCGCCTGCGGGCCAGCGAAGTGCGAGGCTAGCGCCACCTGCGTGGGCTCCTGGGGGGTGCCAGCACAGTGCGGGGCTGCGCAGATCCGGGCGAGGCCTCGCCGTGCCTGCGGCCGCGAGGCCGCGAGGCTGTCGCCACCTGCGTGGGCTGGGAGGATGCCAGCGCGCCCAGACCCCCGACGTCGTGATTTGGTTCGCAACGTCGAGCCCCAGAGGTCTGGACCCCTTCCCCGGGCCCAGTTTTGCACCCCGAGTCGCTTTTTGACAGCCCCGGGCCTCGGAAGGGCCCCGGGAGAACGAAGATAGTGAGAAACTTCCCGCCGTGATTTTTCCACAGCGCGAGGGGGTCTGGGCAGTGCGGGGCCACTCCTGGCTTCTGGCGGCCCTCGCCGAGCCCTGGGCCCGTCGGGCTGCAGCACCGGCCCCCTGGGCAATGGCCAGGACTTCCAGGGGACCCGCTGGCATGGCTCGTCTCGGCGACCCCCGCGCACTCTGGCTCAACCCCGCCCAATCCTCACCGAGCGCGTTCCGCTACTCGCAAAGGGTCTACTCGCCAACGTGCGAAATAGAACAGCCTTCCCAGACGCAACGGATCGTGCATCCCCCGCGGCGGATCCAGGCCATTTGCGAGCAGTTATTTTGCGAGTAGTGAAACGCACTTGTCTAAATCCAGCCCAACCTCGGGCGTACTCGCAGAGGGGGCAAAGGTGCCCATACAGCTGCGCTTCCCTCGCATAGGCCCCTTTTGGGGCCTCCTGGGACGCCGCCCTTGGATTCGCCTCGACATGCTGCACAGGCACCCCAGAAGAGGTCCGGGGGGTAGCGGTGGTATCGGTCCCTTGCGGTTCCCCCTTATTCTGGGGCTGAATCCAGCCTAATTCGGCTGAGTAGCGCCCGTATTGGGCGTCAACGCCCTTCATTTGCTTTGCCGAAGGTGTGGGCTTTCCGCCACATCTCGTCTCGGCGACCCCCGTAGGTGCACGGCCTCTTGCTGGGGCAGCGGTTGCACCAGATCGGCACTGAGCTCACCACCAACTATTCAGAGGGCTCTCGCCTGTCCCACGGCATCGTTTTTCCAGTTCGGGAGCCTGCTTGGGCACATCCTGAGGATCTATACACGATGATCTGAGGGTGCTCCGGCTCGTCCCGCAGCCTCGCCCTCCCCTTTTCCCCCGTCTGCCCGTGTCTTCGTGCCTCAACTCGGGCAGGGCCAGGGCGAGGATAAGTCCGCTCCCGAACGCTTTGAGGAGGCCGCGCCCGAGCCGGAGCCCAGAGATTCTCGATTTATTTGGGCGCCGCGGAATGAGGGGGGGTCATAAAAGGGGGGGGTGTCGCGGGTGGTCCGAAAAGGTACCCAAACGGTACCTGAACGAGCCCCCTGGGGCTCCGGAGGGGCCCGCAAGGGGCACGAAAGGGGACCTTTTCTGACCCCCCCGTTTGTGACCCCCCCATTAAGCCACGCCCGATTTATCTTCGCCTGAATGTATCATCTTCCTGGCCTCCTCGTACGAATCCGCCGCGGAGGCGTCCTGCCGAGAGCTCGGCCGCTTGCCGCGGCCCCAGCCCGCCGCAGACCAGCCGAGTAGGGTGATCGACAGCAGAGTTGCTTGGTACACCGCAGCATTGATCTGTCCGTCGAGTCCCAGAAGCACGCTTGGAATGTTCGTAGATCTGCGAGCATTCTCCGCACGACTCGACGCACAAAAAAAACAGGTTTGGGGTGCATCCATTCGGTAGACGATCCCCTGCTCGGGCCAAGGGCCCTGCGTACAGGGCCACGGATTGCCTGCGTGCGGCAGGCTCGTGCCGCAGTGGCCCTTCGCCGGAGTGACCTCTGGCGCGGGCACACGAGTGCGATGCGATAGTCTGGGGGCAATTGTTCGGCTACTTTTTTTGACTATGTTTGATAATTGGTTCGATTTTTTTTTTTGTTTTCTTCCAAGTTCGCCCGTGGGAGGACATGCCCGACCTAACGATAGCAGCGTCCTGCGCGCTCGTCTCTGGCCTCCTCGCGGCCCCCGATAGTCGCGCGCCAAAGGTTACTCTTGCCCGGGGTCACTCCTGCGTGTAGCCGAGCCACTCAGGGGCAACGATTGGGCGATAGGCACAGGGGGGATGCAGCGACTCCCAATCGCCCCTTGATCGCCGATAGAGGCCCGATAGCCCCGACCTGCCCAGGAGCGTGCGGATTCGCTATCAGGAGCCTATCGCCGATCTATCCGCGATGCATCGCCGATTCCAGGTCGATGTGCCCCCCTGAGCCGATTTTCGGTTCATACCCAGGCCTCAGGCGTCCGTTCGGGTCGCTCCTGGAACCTCCAGGGCGATCTCGGCGAGGAGCAGCCGCTGGCAGGCATCCCGAGGTTGGAACGCCGCCGAGAACCAACGAAGACGTCCGGCACTTTGAGCGTCGAAGCCTCGAACGTCCCCCTCCCCTATCGTAGCCCCTCAACCAAGGGACCTGCGTGCGGGGCCTGCGTACGGTTAAGTCGGGCGTGGCCCTCTACAGGAGGCATACTCAAGAGCAGTAAGAAAAATCGTCCGGTGACGATTTTGTGGGGACTCTTTGATTTTTCGGATGCTTCTTGGAATCCGCCTGTAGGACGACCTAAACGTACGGGGCCCGCGCACGGGAGCGGCTCGTGCTTCGCGCCCTGGCTGCGGGCGAGAGGCCTCGTGCTGCCGCGCCGGCGCGGCGCCAGGGGGCGGCCCCGCCGCCGCGGCGCTCGTGGGTTCGGAGCGCCGCCGCGGCGGCCCGGAGGTGGCCAGCAGCAGAGGTCGAAGGAGGAACAACGCAGGGTCTTCAAACGGTTGGCTTCCAACGAGGCAGTTCCCTCAGCAAAGGCAGTTCTTCGAGGCCTGGGCCGTTTCTCCCCTCAAATTTCTCAGCCTTCGTCCCTTCTTGGTCCTTCTCGTGATCCCTCGGCCTCCTCGTCATCACCGCTCGTAATCCCTCGTCCTCCTCGTATGAGGGTGCAGGAGTTGCGTTGATTCGCGGTGTTGGAGTCCCAAGGGTGGTGTTATAGCACGGTTCTCAGGATCGTCGAGACGCAACAGTCAGGTTGTTCTGTGGTGTTGGAATCCCCAGAACAATAGTTTGGCATTCTTCAGGGTCTTCAAACGGTTGTCTTCCAATGAGGCAGTTCCCTCAGTGGAGACGGATCGTTGTAGGGGCCTATGAAGGGGGAGCCTGGAGGGAGGCTTTCTTCCGACATCGTTGATGTCTCTTGGGTTTATTTTGGCCCCTCGTCCTCCTCGTGATCCTCATCGAAGAAGAAAAACGCTAGACGTTTGTGTCCTATTGCGTTTTTATTCCAAGAGAGCGAGCGGCTGGGCGGTCGAAAAGACACCGAGGTCGGCAAACCGAAGACTCGAGTACGCACCGATCGTGGTCTGGTTGACCCCAAAGGGGGTCCAGCGAGAAGGGGGTGGTGCAATAGGTTTGGTGCAATCAATGTGTGGGGTTGCAGCAGATCTGGGACGTGCAATCCATTTCGGTGCGCGAATGTATTGTTGGGTTTTCGCGTGAAATACATTAGTTGCAAGGCAATTCCCTGGCGCAATATATTTGCAATACAATTGTCCCAAGCCTATTGCACCACCCCCTTTTCGCTGGACTCCCTTTTGGGTCAACCAGACGTTGAAAGTATGGGTGGCGATCGAGGGGCGAAGGCGAGGAGGAGAAGGCCTTCTCAGGAGGCTGCAGGACTTCTCCGAAGCCCTCGCGCCTTCTGAGAAGTTGTACGGGTCTTCGGGAACGGCTCAGAAAACTGTTCAGAAGGCCCGTGGACTCCCGAGCCTTTCTGAGAAGGCCCGCCCCTTCTCACTCCCCCCCCTGGTTCGACGCCGATGGCGGGAAGCGCAAGATTCGAGCACAGTGGGGGCAACTCACTTCTGTACTCGATCCCCTACTCGAAGGATTCTCCAGGAAGTCCCCAGGGACTCCAGGGCACCCTTCGGGAGGCCCAGAGGGCCCCAGGGACTCCGAAGCGGAGCAGAAGAGCTTGGGACACCCTGGGCCACGGACACAGGAGCGACGGAAAAGGACGCCGAGGTCGGGGAAACGTAAGACTCGAATGTAGTGGGGACGGGCAGCAAGAAAATGACTGCTTTTCGTCAGGACGCCCTGGGTTTCTTCCCTCCGCGCGCTGTGCGGTGGCTTCCCGTGGCCATCGAAGGAGCCGCTGCGTTCCTGGGTGCTCTGGGCTCCCCCCACTTGCATTTTGCGTTTGCGGGTTTTAGGACTGGGATTCTTGCGAGGGCTTCTTGCGGTGCCAGCACTGAACACGCCGGTCGTTGAGTAGGCATTGCTGGATTCCCAGATCCAAATTTACTTCAAGCGCCTTATTACTTCAATCATCCATGCGCTGCTGCGGCTGTGGTTTGTTTTTCTTGGGAGGGCCTGGGCCCAGTCTACTTTAGCCGCCTTCCTACTTCATGTTTTTTACCTGATTCTTCCTACCGACGTGTAAGAGTGACCCTTCGCCAGAGTGACCTTTGGTGCGGGCCCACCCCGATCGCTGAATGCGAGGCGGCAGTGGCGTCTTGCGCGCTTGTGCTTGGCTCCTCCCCCGCGGCCCCCCCCGGAGCCGCGCACCGAAGGTCACCCTTACCCAGGGACACTCTTGCGTGCAGCCTTTCCTCCTCCTGCTCCTCCTCCTTCTCCTCCTGCTCCTCCTCCGTCTCCTCCTTCCCTCCTCCTCCTCCTCCTCCTCCTCCTCCTCCTCCTCCTCCTCCTCCTCCTCCTTCCCTCCTTCTCCTCCTCCTCCTCCTCCTCCTCCTCCTCCTCCTGCTCGCGTCCACCTGCTGTGGGTCCTCGCCGGGCTCGCTTCGGCCGCGGGGATGACCTCCGCCTCACCAGAGACGCGAGGCTCCAGACACCTCGGAGCGGCCTGTTCTTGGCCACCTTCGGCCCCCAGGGGGGCCCTGCACGGGCCCGGGGGAGCTGCTATAATGGCGCCATCATCGCAGAGCGGATTTCGTTTGGAGAACCATGGGATGGGCCACGATTGTCCTGGATAATTTCGTTCCGGATTTCGAAGAAAATGTCGTGCGGATATCGGGGGCGGAAAAGAGGGGGGTGATGACTAGGGGGGGGTGGATATCATGGCGGGGGCCATGATTTTTCCCCAGATTTCATGGCGCCTCTTCTTGTTTCATTATGTCCCTGGCCCCCCCGCTGGGCCGCGCATATGCTGCCGGGCATGATTTGCACACACCCCTCTTGGACACCCCCCTCTTTGCCGCTCCCGAGGATATTGTGCTTCCCTCCACGCCGACGGCGCCGATGCATCGCCGATGCATCTGCGATGTTGCGCCATCCTCAGACCACATCTATGCGGACCTCATTTGGGAGGCCCGCCTCCTTCCCTATGTACTATATAGCTGCAGCCTGTGGCCCCTGGCCGCGTGGGCCCGCGTACTTCGCGCTGCTGTTCCGGCTCTGGACCCTCTTCATGCCGAGCAGGCTTCTGATGTTCATCATCGTGCCGGCGACCAGCCGGGCGCGAGGAATCGGAGGACGCGTAATGAGAGGGGGCGACACATTGGGCCCCTGCAGAGGCCCTAAAGGGGGCCCCCACAGGAGCCCCTAAAGTGCCCCTAGGGGGCACCCAAAGGGGACCCTGAGGGCGAAGGGTCCCTCGAAGGGCCCCATAGAGGCCCAAGGGCCCCAAAATCAGGGCCCCGGAGGGAGCCGGCAAAGGGCCCATAAGAAGAGCCCCTGAAGGGGGCCTCCCTCGGACCCAGAAGAGAGCCTCTGGGGCCCGAACAAAAAAGGGCACCTTTGCCTCCCTCCTCCCCCCCCCCCCAGGTGGATCGCCCGCCGGGAGCTCGCGCCCAGAGAGGGAGGAGCGGCGGAGGCGGCGAGGGGGGCACGGGAGGGGCAAACGGGTGGGCAGGGGGCAGGGGGCAGGGGCCCGGTGGGCAGCACGAGGAGGAGTCAGGAGTCAAGAGGAGAGAAAGACCACAGACACAAATAATCTTCGGTTCCCAGGAGATGATGGGAAAGCATGGGAAGTGTGGGGGGGACTATGAACCTCCAGAAAGCATGGGACACTGTGGGGAGTCCTGGGATTTGCGTCTGTTCCACTTTGTGTGTTCCCGGGCCCTTTCAAGGAGTCAGGAGGCAGGGGCAAGGCGATACGGGCAGGGGAGGAGGACAATACGCGACAAGAAATCCTTGCATGGGAGTGCGAAGCTCTAGGTTTGAGTCGGGCATATCCCTCGACAGGAGGGACAGTCACTAGAGATAACACAGCTAGTCGGGTGACGATGTTTCGTGCGCGTTTGACCTTTAGGGGAAAAAAATCGGGCGACGAGGTATCGTGCTCCTTTGACTCTGTTTGACGTTTTCATTGTTCGAGTATGTTACATTTGTCTTCCAAAAAGTCCGCCTGCTGGTGGACATGCCCGACCTAAGGATCTGAGCAAGGGGGGACGGACAAGACACGACAAGAAGGCCTTCTTTTGCTGGGGGAGTGCGAAGCACCAGGTACCCAGCGCAACCGCTGGACGTGTTGCCCCCCCCCCCTTGGCTCAGAGGGGGAGGCTATCTCTCGGGTTCGAGCGAGGTTCTCGCCACCGCTGAGCTGGACGAGGCAGCGGCCGAGCCCGACAATATTACGTTACGTCGGTGGTGGTCGCTGCAGATCGAATAATAATACCAGTAGTAAGAAGAAATAATAAGAGTAAGAAGAAGACGAACAAACATAAGAGGAATCATATTAAATAATACGAATAATAATACTAAGAATCGTAGTAAGAAACATCATAACAATAATAATAAGGAAAATGAGAAATGCCATAGTCTGGCTGGGGCTATAGTCGCCCCCCTCTTGGATCCGCGGGGGGGGGGGCGGGGGGCACTTGCTGTCGGAACGGGTGCAGGGGGGGTTGGAGGAAGAGGAGGAGGAGGAGGAGGAGCAGGAGGAGGAGGAGTAGCAGGAGGAGGAGGAGGGGGAGGAGGATGGAGGATGGAGGGAGCGGGATTGGGCAAGCTCCGCAGGAAGGCTAGAATCCCCCCCTGATAAGTGCCCCATGCAGGGTAAGCATCAGCTTTCGAAGCTCCGCGCAGATCTCTCGGATCGGCGCTTCTTGGCCCCTCCCCCCCGGCGGCGCCTCCGACGCCGCCCCCATCGGCGCGCGAGGGGGGGTCCAAAGCGCCGATGCAAGAGATCTGCGCGGAGTCCCGAGAGTTTATGGGCGGAGCCTCAGCAGGGTATACAGTGGGGACCCATGCCAAGAACCACCCTGCTTGCCTCCAGGGTGCCCTGGGATTCTGGAGCTTCGATGGTCTTGCTATGGAAGGCGTGGCGTTCCCACACCCAAATCCACGGACGTCCTGGTGTCTCAGGGTTGGGTTTATTGTGGAAGGTTTCTTGTGGTCGGGCCCCCCCTACATGAGTCGGGGGCGAAGCTCAACGTACTCCGAATGTCCTGATCAAAGGGGCGGGGGTCACAAGCCTCTGAGGGGAGCCATTTCAGACCCCCTCCCCAGACCAGCCATGAAGGGGCGGCCTTTTGCCCAGACTCCCTTGGAGCCTTCCAAGACATCTCAAATCAGACCCCCCAAATCAGACCAGCATCCTTTTAGATAGTGAAATCCAGATTGCCCAGGATCGCCTTGACTGTGCGATCGGGCGGGGCTCATCCTGAGCAAACGAAGTTCAGCCTCCTGACCCTGCTTGGCGGCGGGCTCAGAGAGACGGGTCAACGTAACTCCCCCTTAGCTTGGGACCAGCCCCCACACTTCAAGTACCGGTACTCCTGCTCTGAGATTTGCGACGGGACCTCAATTTGATCACAAGTTTCAGGAGCCGCCGACCCAGCCGCCGCGACAAGCATGCGGCATTCCCTATCCGAGCGCATTGTGTCACAAAAGGTCGGAACTCATCTGCAGCCTTTCAGCGGCATGATTCTCAAGAGGAGCGTCTGCTACAGTCGGGCCGATGAAGAAGGAACCCTTTGCGCTGGGGAGGGGCTCGGTGTTCTTTCGTTGTGTTGCAGTGTGTCTTAGGGGCTCCTTGGCTTTTCCCTGGGAAGTCGAAGTTGATCTGATGGAAACGGGCGGCCCCGCTCCTTCCTTACTCGGAGTTTCTTAATCAGCGTCGGGGGGGCGTCACCCCCGCCGACAGCCCCACATCGACCCCCGTCGCGGGCAGCCACCGCGCGCCGAAGGTGCTCCGACCCCCGTTGGGGCGCGACGACGAGGCGACGTTGACCCCCGTCTGGGGGGCACCCCCCCCACGCTCATTGAGAAACCCAGAGTAGGAGTTTCGGATTTCGCTTTGTGGGGCGCCCGTGGACGCCTCGTGCTGGGTGGGAGTTCGGGTTTTCGGTGGGCGCCTCGGAGGAGGATGAGTAGGAGGAGGAGGGGGGGGGGGGAGGAGGAGAAGGAGGAGGAGGAGGAGGAGGAGGAGGAGGTTTAGGAGGAGGAGGACGAGGAGGAGGAGGAGGAGGAGGAGGAGGAGAAGGACCAGTGTAAGCCCAAGAGTCATCAATGATGTTGGAATTAACCCTCCCTTCAAGCTCCCTCTTCACAAGCTCATTCCCATTGAGGGAACTGCTCGTTGGAAGAATCGTTTGAAGATCTTTAAGCATACCTAAACATTGTTCTCTGGATTTCCACGCCACGGATCAACCTGAGTGCTGCGTCCTGACGACATGTAATCGTAGCATAACACCATGTTGGTGGACTTGACACCGCGAACCAACATAACTGTTGCACCCGCATAAGTAACCCTGAATCTTTCCAAAACACAATTTCAAGTTCGTGGATCATGGGAGTCTGTGAAACTCTTGCATTGTTTGAAACGAGTGTGCGCGGCGCTGAGGCGAGAGCCACAGTTTGAAAACGACCCGCCTTCAATTCGTGAAACTTTGGCCACTTGTTTCAACGAATGTGCGCGGCGCTACGGCGAGAGGCACATGTTGAAAACGACCCGCCTTCAATCCGTGAAACTCTGGCAATTTGTTCAAACGAATGTGCGCGGCGCTAAGGCGAGAGCCACATTTTGGAAACGACCCGCCTTCAATCCGTGGAACTTTCTGGCAATGTTTAAAACGAATGTGCGCGGTGCTAAGGCGGGAGCCACATTCTGAAAACGACCCGCCCTCAATCCATGAAATCTGGCAATGTTTATTAACACGAATGTGCGCGACGCTAAGACAAGAGCCACACTTTGAAAATGACCCACCCTCAGTCCGTGAAACTCTTGCACTTTACAATACACATGTGCGTGGCGCTAAGGCGAGAGCCACATTTTGAAAACGACCCGTCTTAAATCCGTTAACCTCTTGCAAATTTCGAAACCGACTGAGCGCGGCGCTCAGGCGAGAGACACATTTCGAAAACGACCCGCCCTCCATATGTGAAACTGTTGCCTTTCTCTAAGCTTCAGAGTCATAGATGGTGAGGAAGTCTCAGGCGAAACGCCCGGCCCGCCCTAAAAACTGGCCTCGGGGTGCGACAGGGAAAAGTTAGCACAAGGAAAATAATGGAGGAGGAGGAGGAGGACGAGGAAGAGGGGGAGGAGGAAGAGGAAGAGGAAGAGGAGGAGGGGCGGACGCGGCGGTGGGGGGAGCAGCGGCAAGGATGAGCGGCAGCGGCAGTACGACGAGGGAGATTGGCGGAGGAGGATACGGTCGGACCGAGGTATAAGATCGAGGTCGGTTCGGGGAGGGTACTCTAGTGCTCTTCGCGTTCGCTGGATGCTCTTGTGCACTCTGTGGAGGTTACCCCTGGATTTTCGGCGCGTGTTGGCCGACGGAGGGTCTCATGTTCGTGAGGGATGTTTTTCTGGCCTAGGTCCGACTGTAGCTACAGATTCGCGCCTCGGGGGCCCAAACCGGAGTTTCCTTGGACCGCGGTTATCCCGGATGACTCGGGCGTCCAACCCTCCCGAATCATCAGGGCTGGGGGCGGGCAGGGGTAGCTACGGATCTGCGCCTCGGGGGCCCAAACCGGAGTTACCTTGGGCCGCAATTATCCCAGATAATTCGGGCGTCCAAAATCGTGGCATCGCTTGGACGTGTGCGTGTTTTGTTGGCGAGGGCCATCGAGGAGCTTTTCTAGGTCATCCTGGAAAAAATACACGCACGACGCTGAAACCTGCACGGGGAGTAGACGTCCGCGCGATGGCGAGAGAGATCGCGGAGGCGAGACGCACCACGCTGCGTGTTCGCTCCGCTCCACCAGCCCGATGCTCCGAGGGAGCCTCGGAGCCGAGCTCGCGTGAAGATCCACGGCAGTGTTGGCGACAACGTAGTAGTCTGATTTGCGTCGCTCGCGCCTTGCGTCGGTGGTGATCTGGTGTTAACATGCAGCATCCAAGACCTGGATGGCAGTCGAAAGCGCGTGAAATGCGTGTGAGACGCTCGCAAGGACGCTGGAAAACATGCCTGGGGAGCTTGCAAGCTCGAGAACAGTTGCTTGGCAGGGGCTCCCGAGCAGGCCTTCTAGATGGGGTCGGAGCAGATGGGGTCGTGGGATCGTGCCGCATCGCCGATGCATCGGCGATGCATCGGCGATGCGGCTCGATGTGGGTCTCAATTTTCTCCACATCGGCGTCGCCAATGCGTCGCCGACGTCGCCAGTGCATCGCCGATGTGTCAGCGATGCGGCGAGATCCTCCGACCCCGTGTACTCGGACCCTATCTAGGAGGCCTCTAATTAGTTCCCCTCGCGCGGTAAAGCAGTCATCACGGGGCGCGACACGTGTGTTGTGTCCAGCCGAACGGTCTGGGTGATGTTTGTTCTTTCACGGTCTGAGCAATGAGCTTGATGTTTGCGAACTTGTTGTTGGTCACAGGCTGCTGCTGTACACTACGCTGTGCAATATTGATGACAACCTCATGGTCAGCACCTAGAACAGAGCTGGTCGATCGGTGACTTGGCCACACACCGCGAAGCCAACATGTTCAGACATGACAAGAGTCTGCGGAAACGTGTTATGGATTACGCCACGTATGATCGTAAACGGCGACGTGTCGTCTCCTCGAGTCTCCTCGAGCAGGGATGAGGGGGAGACGGGAGAAGGAGTGCAGGAGAGTCGAGAGAGGAGGAGAGGATCCTTCTCCTCTCCAATCTCGATACTCAGTATCCCTTTCGTCACTCTGAATTCTTTCCTCTCTTTCCTCTCAGGGGAAGGGGAAATAGAGCGAGAGAGAGAGAGTTAGGAGTGAAGAGTTGGAAGGGGGGAAAAAGGGACGGGAGGTGGAGGTGCAGGACGATGTGGAGGAGGGGGGAGGGGGCGGAAGGGGGGGGGTGAAGGGAGAGGAGAGCTCCTCCTCCTCCTCCTCCTCCTCCTCCTCCTCCTCCTCCTCCTCCTCCTCCTCCTCCTGCCCATCCTCCTCCTCCCCCTTCTCTTCCATCTCCTCCTCCTTCTCCTCCTTCTCCTCCTCCTCCTCGTCCTCCTCATCCTTCTCCTCGGAGAGGAGGGAGTGCAGGAAAGAGCGGGAGGGACAGAGGGGAGGGAGGGGGGAGGGGGGGACAGAGGAAGACAGGGAAAGGGGAAAGAAGGGAGGGGGGAGGCTGGGAGGAGAAAGGGAGGGAGGGAGGAATGGGGAGGGGAGGGCGAAGGGGAAAGGATGAACGGGGGAGGGATGGGGGAGAAGGGGAGGGAAGGGAGGGAGCGGATGGAACGGACAGAGGAAGACAGGCCGAGGTGCAGGCGGGCTAGCGGGCAGGAGGCAGGAGGTGCTACGGTCGGACCAAGGTATGCGATCGAGGTCAGTTCGGGGAGGGCACCCTGATGTTCTTCGTGGTTGTTGGATGTAGTTGTACATCCTGAGGGATGGTACCCTCGAATGTTGTTCAGTTTGGCCGGCGGAGGGTTTCATGTTCTTGAATGACGTTCTTCCGTCCCAGATCCAGCCGTATGGCCAAGAGTGGAGGGATGGAGGGCGAAGCGTGGATCGGCGGAGAGCAGGCGAGCCTCGCAGCGTGGAGGGTGCCGCGCCTGCTATGGCTGGGGCGGGCATCAGGTTTCATTCGCTGACAACGCGCGTGGTACTGGGGGCTTTCTGACCAGGGAGGTAATCGGGCAGGGGCGACATGTTTGCCCTTGGTGAGCGCGCTGGCTGGAAGACACGTCGGTGCGAGCGCGAGCGTGGGTGGGGAAACAACTTGCTCAGCCATGCATGCGTCGTCGCTTCAGCCCGCCCGGAGGAGGAGGAGAAGGAGGAGGAGGAGGAGTAGAATTGAATGCGTCCTCCATTGCTCTGGCCAGGTGAAGTATCAGGTCCTCTGGGACAGCGTGGTGTCGTTCCTCTGGCAGGCCGTTGTCCCTCTTCCGTGCGCATCACTCGCCTCAGCATAATCATCTTTCTTCTCCCTCTCGTCCATTATTCGGCGGCGGGCGAGGGAGTTGGGAGAGTAGGAGGAGGAGGAGGAGGAGGAGGAGGAGGAGGAGGAGGAGGAAAAGGAGGCGGAGGAGGAGGAGGAGGAGGAGGAGGAGGAGCAGGAGGAGGAGGAGGAGGAGGAGGAGGAGGAGGAGGATGGACGTGAGAAGGAGAAGGCCTTCTTAGAAGGCGGCAGGGCTTCTCAGAAGCCCTCCTCGCGCCCTCCGGGAAGTTTTTTCTGCGTCCTCGGGGAAGGCTCAGAAAACTTCTCAGAAGGCCAGGGGACTTCCGAGCCTTCTGAGAAGGCCCGCCCCTTCTCACTTCCCCCCCTCGCTCGCCGCCGATCAGCATAACCTTCTTTCTTCCCCCTTTCGTCCACTATCCCTCCCGCGTCGGCCGGACTCGAGCTCATCTTCCTCCTGTTCTTCCTCCTGTTCTATCTTTTCCTCTTCCTCCTCCTCCTCCTCTTCCTCCTCCTCTTCCTCTTCCTCCTCCTCCCCCTCCTACTTGTACCCCTCCTCCAACTTGTCTTCCTCCTCCTCCTCCTCCTCCTCCTCCTCCTCCTCCTCCTCCTCCTCCCCATCCTTCCCCAGTCGGGAACGCCTGTGTGGTCGCTTCCTCCGCAAGGGCTCCTCTTGCGAGGGCGCAGCAAAGGCAGCTTTTCGAGGTCATGGGCCGTCTGCCCCCTCAGGTTTCAATCCTTCGTCCATTCTTGGTTCTCCTCGTGATCCCTCGGCTCCTCGTTATCCCCCCTCGTAATCCCTCGTCCTCCTCGTGATCCCCATCGGAGAAGAAAAACGCCATACACAGAAACTTAAGGTGCTCCGCGCGGATTTCTGGGATCCGCGCTTGCCCCCCTGGCAGCGCCTCCGGCGCCGCTCTTGGTGCGCTCCGCGCGCCAGGGAGGGGGACCCAGCACAAATCCAAGAAATCCGCGCGGAGCGCCACAAGTTTATGCTTATGGTGTGTTTGTGCCCAACCGTCCTGTTGTGTTGGGTCTTCGTTTTGAAGAAGAGACAGCGCCGCGCGTCCCTGCTCTCCTCCTCCTCCCCCTCCTCCGTCCTCTCCTCCCCATCATCGTATTCGTCACACCCCTCACACGTTTCGTGGCCCCATAGGGAGCTCCACCTAAGGTCCCAGTGGCGCAGTCCGCATGGCGGCGGCGCCCCATTTTGGCACACCTCTCACACGCTTCGTGGCCCCATAGGGAGCTCCATCTAAGGTCCCAGTGGCGCAGTCCGCACGGCGGCGCCGCCCTATTTTTTGCACACCTCTCACACGCCTCGTGGCCCCACAGGGAGCTCCAACTCAGTTCCCAGTGGCGCAGTCCGCACGGCGGCGCCGCCCTCTTGTGGCACACCTCTGACACGTTTCGTGGCCACATAAGGAGCTCCATCCCGGTGGGACCGCCCGCATGCGTCAACCACCACCCAGCACAGCCCTTCTTCCTTGCGTTTCACCCACCCAGCACAGCACCCCGTGGCCCCATAAGGAGCTCCACCGAAGGTCCCAGTGGCACCGCCCGCATGCGTCAACCACCACCCGGCGCAGTCGTTGCTCCCTGCGTCTACCCCACCCAGAACAGCGCTTCCTGACCCCATATGGAGCTCCACCGAAGGTCCCAGTGCGGCCGCCCGCATGCGTCAACGACCATCCTGCACAGCCTTCCTCCCTGCGCTTCACCCGCACAGTACAGCGTTTCGTGGTTCCGTAGGGAGCTTCACCGAAAGCCCCAGTGGCACCGCCCGCACGCGTCGACCATCGCCCAGCACAGCCTTTCCTCCGTGCGCTGCACCCACCAAGTACAGTGCTTCGGGGCCCCATAGGGGAGCTCCACCGAAGGTCCCAGTGGGACCGCCAGCATGCGCCAACCACCATCCAGCACAGCCTTTCTTCCCTGCGCTTCACAGACCCAATACAGCGCTTCGCGACCTCATAGGGAGCTCCACCGAAAGTCCCAGTGAGACCGCCGGCATGCGTCAACCACCACCCAGCACAGCCATTCTTCGTTGCGTTTCACCCATCCAGTGCACCGCTTCTGGCCCCATAGGGAGCTCCACCAGAGGCCCCAGGGGAGGCTGCCCGCATGCGTCCACCACCACCCAGCACAGCGCTTCGTAGCCCCATTAGAGGGCTCCACCGAAGTTCCCAATCGGATCGCCCGCATGCGCCAGCCACCACACAGCGCTGCGCTTCGTGGCCCCATAGGAGGCTCCATCGAAGGCCACAGTAGCACCGCCCGCATGCGTCAGCAACCACCCAACACAGCGTTTCGTGGCCCCACAGGGAGTTCCACCGAAGGTGCCAATGGCGCCGCACGCATGCGTGTCAGCCACCACCCAGTACAGCGCTTCGTGGCTCCACAGGGAGCTCCACCGACGCCCTCCGTGGCACCGCCCGCATGCGTCAGCCACCACGCAGTACAGCGTCTCGTTGCCTTACCAGGAGCTCCACCAAAAGTCCCAGTGGCACCGCCCGCATGTGTCAGCCACCACCCAACACAGCGCTCCGCGGGCCTATAAGGAGCTCCACCGAAGGCCACAGTAGCACCGCCCGCATGCGTCAGCCGCCACCCAGTACAGCGCTTCGTGGCCCTACAGGGACCTCCACCGACGGTCTGCCACAACCTTGTATAGCGTTTCGTTGTCCCACAGGGAGCTCCACCGAAGGCCACCGTGGTGCCGCCCGCATGCGTCAACCACCACCTTGTGCAGCGCTTCGTGAGCCCATAGGGAGCTCCACCGAAGGCCACAGTAGCACCGCCCGCATGCGTCAGCCACCACCCAGTACAGCGCTTCGTGGCTCCATAGGGAGCTCCACCGACGCCCTCAGTGGCACCGCTCGAATGCGTCAGCCACCACCCAGTACAGCGCTTCGTGGTCACATGGGGAGCCCCACCGAAGGTCCCAGAGGGACCGCCCGCATGCGTCAGCAACCACCCGGCGCAGCGCTCCGTGGCCCCGTAGGAAGTTCCACCGGAGGATCCAGTGGGACCGCCCGCATGCGTCAGCCACCACGCAGTACAGCGTCTCGTTGCCTTACCAGGAGCTCCACCGAAGGCCACCGTGGTACCGCCCGCATGCGTCAGCCACCACCCAGTACAGCGTTTCGTGGGAGCTCCACCGAAGGCCACAGTGGCACCGCCCGCATGCGTCAGCCACCACCCAACACAGCGCTTCGCGGCCACAGTGGCACCGCCCGCGTGCGTCAGCCACCACCCAGTACAGCGCTTTCTGGGCCCACAGGGCGCTCCACAGAAAGACCCCAGTGGCAGCGCATGCATCGTCCACTACCCAGTATTGCATGTCGCGGCCACATTGAATCGGAGTTCCACCGAGCCCCAGCGGCACCGCCCGCATGCGCCCCCCCCCCCCCCCACACTCGGCACAGCGTTTCGTGGCCCGTAGGGAGCTTCAGTGGCCCGCCCGCATGCGCCCCCCCACCCACTACAGCGTTTCGTGGGCCCATAGGAGGCTCCATCGAAGGCCCCACTGGCACCGCCCGCATGCGCCCCTCCCATGGCCCCACAGGGAGCTCCACCGAAGGTCCCAGGGGAACCGCCCGCATGCGACAGCCACCACCCAGTACAGCGCTTCGTGGCTCCATACGGAACTCCATGGAAAGACCCCAGCGGCACCGCCCGCATGCGTTTCCCCCAGCCAGTACAGCGCTTCATGGCCTCATCGGGAGCTCCAGCGAAGGCCACAGCCCGCATGCGTCAGCCACACCCAGTACACCATTCGTGGCCCCATGGGGAACCCCACCCAAGGTCACAGTGGCACCGCCCGCATGCGTTTCCCCCACCCATCACGGCACGCCCTTTACGCGCTTCGTTGCCCCATAGGGAGTTCCGCCGAAAGCGGCACCCACAGTGCGTTAATCACAGTTGCGTATGGTTGGGTCTTTCGCAAAGATAATTGCCCCAACCATCCGATGGTGTTGGCCTTCGTTTTGAAGAGACAGCGCCGCGCGTCACTTCTCTCATCCTTCCCCCCTCCGCCCTCTCTCCTCCCATCGGCAGCATCATCATTAACACCATTGTGGCACACCCCTCACACGCTTCGTGGCCCCATAAGGAGCTCCACCCAAGGTCGCAGTGGCGCGGTCCGCGTGTCGGCACCGCACCATTTTGGCACATCCTTCACGCGCTTCGTGGCCCCATGGGGAACCCCAACCAAGGTCACAGTGGCGCGGTCCGCATGGCGGCGCCGCCCCATGGTGGCACACCCCTCGCACGTTTCGTGGCCCCGTAGGAAGGTCCACCTAAGTTTCCAGTGGCGCGGTCCGCATGGCGCCGCCGCCCCATTTTGGCGCACCCTTCACGCGTTTCGTAGCCACATAGGGAGCTCCACCGAAGGTCCCAGTGGCGCAGTCCGCATGGCGCCGCCGCTCCATTATGGCACATGCTTCACATATTTCGTGGCCCTGTAGGGAGTTCCACCTAAGGCCCTTGTGGCGCAGTCCGAATGGAGCTACACCTAAGGTCCCAGTGGCGCATTCCGAATGGGGCCGCCGCTCCATTTTGGAACACCCCTCACACGTGTCGTGGCCTCATGGGGAGCCCCACCTAAGGTCACAGTGGCGCATTCCGCATGGCGGCGCCGCCCCATGTTGGCACACCCCTCACGTCCCGTGGTCCCATCCATAGGGAGCTCCACCTCAGGTCCCAGTGGCGCAGCCCACCTCGTTCCTGCGCATCGTTATTATCATCGCCATCATCGCCGCTCGCCCCTCGCACGTTTCGCGCCCCCGTAGGGACCTTTGCACCGAAGGCCCCAGCGGCAGCGCCCGCATGTCGTCCCCGTCCCATGTCGGCACATCCCTCACACGTTGTGTGGCCCAGAAAGGGGCTCTACATCAGGCTCCAGTGGCAGCGCCCGCGTGGCGGCCCCGCCCCATTTCGGCACATTCTTCACGCGCTTCGTGGCCCCATACAGAGATCCACCGAAGGCGATACTAACCACGATGGCATTCACAACTGCATATGGTTGGGTCCTTCGCCGAGATACATTTCATCTAGCCCAGCGAAGCGCGTGACGAGTGTGCCGACATGGGTCAGGGCGGAGCTCCCTTCGATGCTACGAAACGTGTGAGGGGTGTGCCACCATGGAGCGGCGCCGCCATGCGGACTGCGCCACTGGGACCTTAGATGGAGCCTATGGTGCTACGACATGGAGCGTCGCCGCCATGCGGACCGCGCCATTGGGACCTTGGGTGGGGTTCCCCATGGGGCCACGAAGCGTGTGAGGAGTGTGCCGAAATGGGGCGGCGCCGCCATGCCGACTGCGCCACTGGGACCTTAGGTGGAGCTCCCTCTGGGGCCACGAAACGTGTGAGGAGTGTGCCACAGGGAGGGGGTGACGAGAGGAGGATGGAGAGGGAAGAAGAGAAGAGAGGAGAGGAGAGGAGAGGAGAGGAGAGAGGAACGCGGGGACTGTCTCTTCAAAACGAGAACCCAACACCACAGGATGGTTGGGGAATCTATATATATATATAGAGAGAGAGAGAGAGAGAGAGAGAGAGAAACAACAAAAAATGAGTACATCTTCTACCTCATACCTCGTCCTCATCCCAATCCTGCCGATCCGTGATCCCTCGTCCTCCTCGTCTTTCGTCCCTCATTGTCTCGGTGGGGGGGGCGGCGCGAGAGCGCGAATTGCGAATCTGGGAGTCCTTTCCAGACCCTCACAACGTCGACCCCGAAGGGTTGGAACCCTTCCCCAGGTCTAGTTTTTCATCTTGAGTAGTTCCCAACCATCCTGTGGTGTTGGGTCCTCGTTTTGAAGAGACGGTGGCCCGCGTCTCCTCTCATACTCTCCTCCTCCTCCCCTCCTCCCCCTCCTCCCCCTCCTCCCCTGCTCCCTGCGTTTCACCCACCCAGTACAGCGTTTCGTGGCCCCATAGGTAGCTCCACCGAAGGCTCCAGTGGCTGCGTTCGCATGGTGGCCTCGGGCCATTTCGGCACACCCCTCACGAGGATCGTGGCCCCATAGGGAGCTCCACCGAAGGCTCCAGTGGCTGCGTTCGCATGGCGGCCTCGGGCCATTTCGGCGCTCCACCCTCTTCGTGGCCCCATAGGGAGCTCCACGGAAGGCTCCAGTGGCTGCGTTCGCATGGTGGCCTCGGGCCATTTCGGCGCACCCCTCACGAGGATCGTGGCCCCATAGGGAGCTCCACCGAAGGCGCCAGTGGCAGCGTTTGCATGGCGGCCTCGGGCCATTTCGGCACACCCCTCACGAGGATCGTGGCCACATAGGGAGCTCCACCGAAGGCTCCAGTGGCTGCGTTCGCATGGTGGCTTCGGGCCATTTCGGCACACCCAGTACAGCATTTCGTGGCCCCATAGGGAGCTCCACCGAAAGCTCCAGTCGCTGCGTTCGCATGGCGGCCTCGGGCCATTTCGGCACACCCCTCACGAGGATCGTGGCCCCATAGGAGCTCCACCGAAGGCCCCAGTGGCAGCCTCCCTCATGGCTCTTAGAGCCCTCTCCTGCTTCTGCTCCTCGGTCAGGGGGGCGCCGTCCTCGTCGTCGTCGGCGCCCGCGAAGACGGCCACGAACGTGTCCCTGAGCATGTCGGGCTCCGGCGGGAAGTTGTGGCCACATCGGGAGCGCGGGCGAAGATGTTACTCACAATTGCGGTAGTCACTACTGCGTATGGTTGGGTCTTTCACCAGGCTAATTTTTGTTAACGGTCCCAGGGCCCGGCAGGGGCTTTTGGAGGCCGAACGTGGCGAAAAAAATCCCGTCGTGTTTTTTTCGCGACGCGAGGGGGTGCTCGCTCTTGCCAGGAGGAGGAGGAGGAGGAGGAGGAGGAGGAGGAGGAGGAGGAGGAGGAGGAGGGTATCTGGGGGAGGAAGCAAACGTCCAAGCCAGTCCATGAAAGCTCTCTGTGGGAAGGTCTGCTGTTGAAGGTGGCAGCGAACGGGTGATAGTTTTTTTCGGAGCGCGTAGCCACACGCTGGGAGGGATTTATGGTCCGCCCCCTTCTCGTCCGCTAGTTGTGTCCTTGGCTTGCCATGTCATCCACACGCTTGCAGCATATTTTCTTCCATTGCAGTTTGTGTAGCATCGAGTCCTTGCCAGAGCAAGCCGCGCTTAAAGTCATGACATTCGGGTAGTACCTCCATACGTGTGAGAACCAGCGCTTCATGTGATCGGTTCAGGCAGTGGTTGCAGTTGTGTTTTTTTCAGCACGCTCAGGAGGAAGAGGAAGAGGAGGAGGAGGAGGAGGAGGAGGAATTGGAGGAGGGGGTCTGGGTTGCCTCCGTGCCAGGTCGTCCTGTCCCTCTTCGAGTCCAAGCACGGGAGGATGCTCGGCTCGAACGGGGGCCTGATCGCCGAGGCCATGGAGTTCGAGGGGTTCGGCTACCTGGTCGCGAGGCAGCCGTCGCACGCCGCGGCCGCCCTCGGCAATGTGGAGGAGAGATCCCCAAGTGAGCGGCGCAAAAACACGGGGTCGTCTGCATCGACGCTGGTGCGTACGCTGCCCGCGCACGGTCGAGCGTACGCGCCCTTGTCGCAGTGTGGCTTGCCGCGCTGGCGGCCCGCGTAAGCCGCGGCGCAAGGTCGCTGTGCCATCTCGCGTAAGATCCGTTCTTGATCGTCATTCCATTCGAGAACATGGACGAGGTGGGCTTCGGAGGCTCAGAGGTTGGCAACGGCACAGAGCCCATTCCGGTTCGAGCGATCCAATTCGATGACGAGCTCGCCCAGCTGGATCCGGTCCGACTTCGGTCTCCCAGCGGTCCGATGCGGCCCGATGGTTGCACGGCGCAGTTGCTTATCTTGGCGCAGCCGATCCGATTCGATTCGATTTCGATTCCGTGCCGATGCAGCCCGATCCGACGCACATTCCGATTCGATTCGTTTTTTCGATTCGATGTTGACTGACTCTCGGCGGTTGCCTCCGCCGAGGCAACATGGTCCTGCTCCCAGTGATGGTTGTAATACCCAGGCCTGTTTAGGAGGCCGAGATATTACCACGAGCACCGAAATCCAGGATCACCTTCCCTTGATGGAGGCGACCCTCTGTCCTGGTAGTGGTGCCAATCCGCAGGCCATCAGGAATGCTCATGCCACACTTGAGCCTGCCTGCTTGCTGGGCCATTCGAAGCAACTGAAGACCCCCGGGGCGCCATAGTTGCACCATGATCCAGCAGGTAAATAAGTATAAGGGTGGGTTTTCGCAAGTAGGTCGGTTCTTTTTTATCGACGAAATTATGTGATCCTCCACATGCTTGATGGGATTATGGTTTCTTTCCTGCCCGTGTCGCACCCGTGTCTTTTACTATCTCCCCCCTCTCCTTCTTAGCACTTTCTCGACACCACATGGGTTGAGCAGGGGGTGGTTGCCGTATCCGTTGCAGCCTCGCAGGGCGTGGCAGGCGTGGCACTTTTTCGACGCAGCAGTTATGAGGGAAAACACACACAGACACAATTTATCGTCGACTCCCAGCAAAACGTAAGAAAATATGGGAAGTGGGGAAAATATTGGGAATCCTGGGATTTGCGTCTGCTTATTTGTGCGTCCCTCTGCCCCCTCGAACAGGGGGCGTGCAGGGGATAGCCGCCGTACCCGCTGCATGCTCGCAGGGCGTGGCAGGCGTGTCACGTCCCTTTCCCAACATCGGAGAGGGCGCGCAGGGGGGGGCTGCCGAGCTCGCTGGCTCACAGGCCGACCCCACGGGACGGTCGTACGGCGTGGCAGGCGCGGGGGCTGCTCAGGAGCCTGAGATCCCTCCGCTTCATTTTTGTTCGAGACGGGCGTTTTCGTTTTTTTTCGGGCCCTGGGACCCTCACGGCTCGAAGAATGACGCAGGAAGATGGGGTCTAGGGCTCCGGGCGTGATCTTTTTACGATGCTGCAATTTTTCCGCTACGTCGGATCTCAGGGGAGGTGGTTGCCAAGCTCGCTGGCTCATCGTCCGGCCCAGCAGCGCGCTCGCAGGGCGCGGCAGGCGTGGCACACTGGAGTGTCGCGGGACTGCCTCGCAGCCGGCGGCCACGCCTGCCGCGAGGTCGCGGTATCCAGCCCCGTCTTCCATCCTCGCCCTCTCCTTCCTCCCTCCCTGCCTCGCCCTCCCTCCCTCGCTCTCCCTCCCTCTCCCTCCCTCCCTGTCTTGCCCTCCCTCCCTCCGTCCCTCGCCCTCCCTCCCTCTCCCTCCCTCCCTCCCTCTCGCGCCCTCCCTCGCCCTCCCTCCCTCCCTCCCTTTTCTTCGCACATATCGACCACACGGCCGCCGCGGCGGCTAGACGCTTGCCATGGCTCCGCCTGTCAGTGATCGCACTTAGTATGGCAGGTATTGTGTGCATGAAAGGATGGGCCAGAAGTTCTTGAATAAGCCCATCGTGGTCAGTGTGTCAAATGTCGTCGGCCCGAAGGTTTTTGCTTCCATTCGTATAAGGAAACACGCCTGAGCCCAGCGCACATGTTCGTGATGTTCGAGGGCGATCGGCGTTGGTAGGTTCCAACAGCAAGGCAGTAGGAAACGCAGACATTTCCATGGGCCAAATTTGCAGAGTTGTGTCTGGCACAGACCATCATCATCAAGTTGGAACGGCAGACTGCTTCGTTCCATTTGCAACGGGATGAGGCAATTGAGGTAGAGGGGCCTGGTGCCAGCAAGCGCGATGATGCAGGCAGTCTTTTCGACGAAGGCCGTGCTCATGCGCACGTGGCGGAATTTGACAGGCAGATGGAGATGGTTGTCAAATGTAGCGGTGAAGCATGGTCTGCGTTGCACGTTGCAGAATCAGATCAACAGCAGGAAACCAGCAACTGTACATATGTTTGCTAGCACGCGGCAAATTAAGAATGTTGAGCAGCAGATGCTCAAGCAGCTGAAGTTTGCAGAACTGCAGCGTGCTAGCATGGCAGCATTGCAGGCAGAGATGGCCAATACTGAGCACTTTATCCAGGACGAGCGCACCAAACTTGTCGAGTTGCGCGCGCAGCATTCGGAGCTTGCCAAGCGTTCTACCTTACCACATGCAAGCAAAAAAAAATAATGTTGCCGCCGCGCACGTGCGCATTGCTGCGATTGGTCTTGGCGCCAACAAGCCCGGGGACCTTTGCGCAGGCTGGGTGCTGGTGAGTTCGCCATGCCGACGGCCGAGGGTATTGCGCAGGCACTACCTACCATCATCAATAACACGCAGGTCAAGTGATTGGATCGACACGTGTGGCAGCTGAGCCTCTTGATGTGCAGCTGGTGGATGATGACGAAGCTGCCCGACCTGTTATCGTTCCTCTCACCACTCTGCCTGCTCCTCAGGTTCCTCAAATTCCGTTGCCGCAGCCAGCTGGGCCGCGGATTTCCGTAGTGGAGATTTGGGAGCTCACGGTCACGTTGGAGGCGGCTGGGGTTTGAGTGCCCGAAGTAGATGAGGACATTTGAGACGCAGCCATCAAGTTGCTACGCGTTCGCGGGGTGGACAGCCTCAACACCTTCCAGGCGCAAACAGATGTGCATGTTACTTGGTATGTCGATGTTAGTTGCGGTTGGCACCATGACGCGCAACATTATCGGCTCGGAAGTTCCAGCGGTCACAGCTGCAGGGGCTGTCATGGGGGCGTCGAACAGGACGGCGACTAATATTCCTCCACATGCTTTGCTCGACGCGGGCAATTAAAAAAGCGAAAGTCAGGACGCGACGGCGGCGCGCGTGCCGCTGGCGACATGCATGTCAAGGTCTACGCGATTACAATCAACGCTGACAGATCAGGGCCGCTGATGGGACACATGGATCAGGTGCGGTCGGCAGTGGCGTTGGTGCAGGAGTTGCGCGCCAGCGGCGCTGGCATGACTTCGCTTGCTTCAGCGATGAGGGACCGAGCTTATCATGGTCTGCATGTTCCCTCTTTGCGCACTGAGGGTAGTCTGCTGGAGCGGCGGTGGTTGCGCCCGCTTTGATCACCACCGCAGCGCCTCATTGCATCGATTTCCCGATCACGCATCCTGGCAGGTGCGCGGTGCCGAAGGTGGGTTGGGGGTGCGAAGGTGGTTTGGTGGCTATCTCTCTGTGTATTTTCTGGACAGCGTTGGATTGAACGAAGAGAATCAGGCGGCGCTGCGCGCTCTCGCTTGCTACGACGGCTGGCTCAACGACATGGGCGCGCCATGGTTTGCCGGCGGTGATTGGAACGTGTCTGTCTCGACTTTCGACGGGCGGGCTTGGTCGGGGCATTTGCGCAGTCTCTTCCGGCACCTGCGATGGACGCGCGCGTCGCTGCAAAGGGCGCGGAGGACAGCGATTGTGTTTTGCGGCGCCTGATAGCTCAGCCACCAAGTTGCAGCTTCCATGTGCCGATTGGCATGGCAGCCGCCCGGCGCGCAAGCCAGCTCATCTTCCTGCATTCGACGGCGATCCCCCCGCGTGGCTGCGCGCGCCTTGCGAGCCCGGGCACCGCCGCCAAAAAGCCGAATGCGGGCTGGTCGCGGCCGCCCTTGCCACGGGGGCGCGCGCTGCCGACGATGCGCAAGGTGCTGGACAGGACGGAGCTCGCGCATGCATGGGATCTCGCTGTTATTATGTTGGAGGATGAGCTGCCCGGTCGGTTCGACATTTTTGGAATTCGATCGCACGCGCGCCGAGGATGGGGTGGACCTGTTCGCGCTGGGCTGCCGCGCCCAAGCGGGCCATGCGCCAGCGAGAGCGCGCGCATACTGGATGAAGCTTAGCAAGGAGCACAGGTCGAGCACGGGATGCCTGATTGCGCCCCCCCATGGACAGGGCGCACTGCGCGCGTTGCTTGCGGTGGAGATTGATGGCAGCTCGTTAGACGTCGCGAGAAGAATCGCATTGCTCCCATGATCGGGAGGGTCGAGCAGGCTGAACTCATGGCGAACTTGATTGCCCCACAGCAAGAGTCCGACGGTTTTGCCCGCTGGATTGCGAAGCAGCGGGAGGCTCTCGACGCGCTGAATGAGGACGGTGAGGATTTTTTCCTTTGGTTTGCTGGCGCTTGGCAGGCATGATTTTCAGGAGGCTGTGTGTTTTCATTGTTGAAAAGGTGGATGGGCATCGCGCAGAGCTCGACAAGGCCAGTGGGCGCCAGCGCAAAGGATTGCTGAGCACGGCCTTTCTCGGCTTGCGCGTTTGCAGGCACTTCAAGCGAACGTCATGGACACGCAGCGCATGCAACTATATAAGACGGCCGATGATGATATGTGGAAATGGAGGGACGCATGGACACGCCATGACACGCAGCGAATTCAAGCGCCAAGCGATCGCACAGCATGGCCGTCCATGCCGTTTATTGCTGCACACTGCGCGCAGGCAGCTGTCGATACTTTCTCCTGGAAGACGGCCACGGGGGCCAACCAGGATTCACCCGCGTGCCTTTGAACGTGCATCTGATAAAGGGCTGCAGGCAGCGGC